TAGTAGAAAGGAAGAAACGGCAGTTTAAGAATGGAAACCTGGATTATACCTAACGTGCACAGGAATGTTTGCGGTTTGCGGTGCTTCTTTAACGTCAGTGGTACACAATAATAAGTGGGCCCTCGGGAGATGCAAGCATTGCCCTGTACGAAGTAAAATGACAAGAATTTTCCTTGATGAGTGAAGACTGATGTAGTATCATGGGGAAATGGCTCAACGAAGGAAGTGGATCGACCAGTCAGAAAATGCTTCCGAGGTCCTCGCTAGATTTTATTCTTATTTATCTACAATATTCCATGCATAAAATGATACCTACGGTGGCTCAAAGTGGAGCCAAAATTCGTGGAAATCGTGATTTCAAATCTAGGGCGATATTCAAGAATCTATATTCAGTTTCATCTTTATTACCTGGGCTAGTGGCCTCGTTTATTTGCTGCTTAGATAATTGGGTATCGCGGATAGTTGAAGTTATGATGCTAGATTATTTCATTAACATACGACATGGCGAGCAAGAAAAGATCTTCTTGCAAATCCAAAATAGCTTCGTGTTTTTACTATACCTTCACAAACTTTTCTCAAGTAGTCCGTGAACTTTTTTGCTTTCCTTGCCACTTGAAATAATGCAATCTAAAAATGTCCGTTGCTACTGTTTATCTTCCTTTTCACGTGCATTTTTTCATTCGAAGTTCTGTGTCGAATGTGATCTCATTCAAGGCAAACAAGGCGGCGAAAATTTGAATCATGCTAGTTGCACTGTTTCCTCTGATCTACCGAATAATTGGCACCATTATGTAAAGCCAGTGATCAACGTTCTATTTTGAATGGTAGATTTCTTCGTCTCGTTTCCAACCTTATAAGTACTAAGCAAATCCAAAATTTGCTTTTTCCAATTCTTTTAAGCGACGTGTCGAGTAACGACCGAGATAAAAATGAAATTTCTTTGGAGATTTCTGAAAATTGATTGCATGATTTGAAAGACCATGGGAAATTCTTCAGGAGCCAAGCCTTTATTATGGTTAATTCCTTTGGAACACTGAACTGTGGAATACCGTATTCAAAAACTTGGCGTGGCTGCCGCGTGATTATATCCCGTTTCCTGCGTACATAAATTTGCTGAATGTGCTTTTCACATGTCTACTTTTGTTTGTTTCACCTTTTTTATCTTTATCTGTTCATCGCTTATGCTTTTGTGATTGAAAAATAAATGAACTTCGGACAAAGGCTTCTCCTTTGGACGCGAGGGAATCTCGGCAATGACGGTTGCGCGGGATGTCGGTGTGAGAGAATCCGCTTGTCGATCAATCGAAGTAGGTATATTTTTCCTTCCGTGTCAACCTATATTTTCCGCTCGTTTATTTTTATTTTTTTATTTTTTGCCTCGATTCGAATGCTTGATTTTTTCCCGTTCCGAATACGAAGAATGTCTGCGTTTTTTTGAACGTAGCGATGGTCGAAGCAGGGCGTTGTATCGACTTTGATTTCACGGTCAGTTGGATGATGGATATTCGACTTGTTTTACGAATGAAAGATAGACGTAAATTTATTGAAACGATGCAGGAATGCCGCATATTTTTGCAACGAAGGATTTAACGGCTTTCCACAAATCAAATTTTGTTTTTGGAAGAGCTCCGTCGCACTCCAGTGCTGATTCGTACCGGGATCGCAGTGAAAAGTGAAGGACGTCTTCGTTTCTGCAGAAATTCCGTTGATTGTTTTCGAGCGTCGGATTTCCTACTGCGCAATTTCAAATACCGAAGGCGTGTCTTGAAAACTTGAGGAAATTCCGAAATAAAATACAGTAAAGCCAATCATTTCTTCTGGTCGATTCTGAGCAGGTCGAAAACTACCGAAGCGTTACAGTTATGTTGAATTCTTGCTGCTTCCAAAGTTGATTGAAAATCTTTACGAAGGAATTCGTGTGTTACGCTATTTTTTCATTTATTTGTATCCCTTACTTGGAAATATTCTCCCTGGAGTATAATAGTTGAAATTGAGTATAACTGGAAGGGTACCTTATTCTCCCTCATCGTGACAAGTTGAAATTCTGATCTGATGATTATAATTTCGTTGGTCCTACATTTTGTGCGACTCGCATACTTACGCTTGTATTTTATGAAATTTCTTAGCGAACCGTGAATGTGAGCATTCTGAAGTGGTCAAATGGGAACAACTTCGTCAGAATGTGGAACACTAGATCAGTAGTCAATCTTCATTCTACGGTTGCTCCTGAAAAAAAGAAGAAATATTGTATCACTGTTACTTGAACACTGAAATACAATTAGGAGAGTATTTTTCAGCATAATAAAAATACTCTTAAGAGCAAGAACTATTGAGAAGAAGGTCTATTGTCAGATGATTCATGACCCCCAAAAAATTATGAGATGACCGTGTCCTCAACTGAAGGTTCAATCAAATAACGTTTTGCATATGTGTTTTGCAAAATGTTTGCTCATCTTTGACGGTTTTCGACAACAAGTTAAATACCCCGTGATTCAGACATTGTGGGTAAAGGCAGCTGTTGAAATGGTTCAGAGGAGTGATTCTTTAGCGTCACTAACTCGATTGATTCGGGCTGCTCCTGTCTAGATTATTATACGCAAATTATTTTCAGGACATGCTTTGTGCACTTTTTCTGCGCTTCTTCGGCGGTTTTTGGCCCGTGATTCAGACACCGTGGGAAAACGTAGCTCTAGAAACGATGCAAAGCATTGCTTCCTTGGTGACGACTTGTTCAGGAATGCGGGGAGCCATCAACTATCCATGGCGCGAGGCAAGTTGTCAACGGTTCTTCCAGATTTTTTCCTTCCGGCTCTGACTGAAGAAAGAAAACTGGAAGACGAACATGTCAACGTTTTAAGAGCTAGATGATGCTTTAAACCTGGAGAATGAATGGACGAAAACCGGTTCGGCAGGTTGTAAAGAAGTCCCGAAGATAGGCCGTGGAATGCAGATTCAGTGATGGCCTTTCGCCAGGTTCAATCTTGCTTTTTTGGCCATCCATCGAAAATAGAAAATAATGCATTGTCAACCCTCCTCATTGTGCCTCCGAATTTTTGACCTTAGTTTTTGGTGACATCTTAATTCCAACAAGAAGTGGAAGGACGTCTTGTGACGTTGCAACTAGGCACTTCGCTGTGTTGGTCATTCTTTCGTTATGTCTACGAATGTCTTGGCATGTTTTTTTGTGTTTTGTTTCTTGGTGAGGGTTCCACTATGTGGCCACCGTTCGCCTTGATACGGACAGCACCCATGAAAAAAAATTGCCGTGTTAAATTGTCTCCAATTGTTAAGAAATGGCAGATCGGGTGAATAATGTGTTCACGGAGGGTTGACGGTAATAATAATAAAAAATCAACTCAATGCTAGGCTTCTAAGATCTACTTCGCTCAAGTACCGAAGTTAAATCCCATAGGTTTCATTTTTCTTCTACACGGATTTGCTCTTAGCTCGATTCCACCGAGCAATTCGGACTCCGTGTCGATTTTTTCGACGTCAACATCATTATTTTCTTCTCCGAAGGCGACACATCAATAATTATGCTGCCACCGTGTTAATTTCTCTTAGTAACGTTCTAGAAATCTTAAGTCGATCGGCTAATTGCGAGAAAAAAAAATAGGGTGTCATATCGACTCCTGTGCGACCACTTCGCCGGAGGACGTTTCATCTTCGGTGATTCTTTTGTCGCACTTTTGTTTCACCTGTTGGTAAAGTAGTTGCTCGAGCTTTTCTTTTTGTTTTTTAAATTATTCTATGATGAGTGTAATCTCCCTTACAGATCAGATTGTCCGAATGTTTGATTTTTTTAAAGTGTCCGCATTATTTACTCGGGCAGTTTCAAATTAGCTCATCGTAAGTTCGACTTTTTCGAAGTTCCTTCAGTGTTTCTTCATAGTTCATCAGGATTTTGTATTCTAAGGGAAACTTTCTGTTTCCCAATTGCTGTGGTATTTTCTGGAAGTACGGTACTTCTCAAAATGAAAGATAACTCTTGAGTCATGTGCGCTGTTGAAATTCTTCCATCATTTTCGGGATTTCAAATTTACTGCATTTCGAAGTTCTAGAAGCCTTGAATTTCTGTTCTAAGGGCTATTAAAATTCGGTGCCCAGATTACCATATTTTTTGACCTTCTATGTTGGTAGCCGTTCGTGATGAACGGCGTGTTCTTGTTGTCACTTGGAGCTCTTTTGTGTTACGGTTGACTTATCTATCCCGTATAAAACCCAGAAGGTTCTGTGTGTGACTCTTCAAGGCGACCTCACGTTATTTTATGGTCCACGTTTCACTTTATCACGAGTTGGTTCTGCGCAAGTTTTCCTGAAGTCGGCGACAGTGACCGCCGGTTGTTTTTGTTTTTCTGTTCCTTCCACTCAGTGTTGTTGCCGCACCACAATTCGGGCCGTGTTTATTGGACAATTTCTGGCGGAGGTATTTAAAAATGCACTCTGCGTGTCGTCACGCCGAAACTCGGCTCAAGGAGCAAGATAGAGAAAGAAGCATATTTTTTATTGTTATTTTAGTCTCTTTTTTTTTCGTCACGACGTTTCGTCGGGCGTATAATTGATCCAGTGCTGATGATCGTTTCTCGCTCGGCCAGCCGCGAAATACAACCTGCTGATGATCCCTTCTCGATACGCTTCTTCAATTTTTCGAAACTTTTTGTTTTCCTGTCGCGTTTTCACCAGAACGAAGAACGTTATCGTCTTTAATTGGGTAAGATATAACTCCAAATCTCCGGGGAAACTAACAGTCACGTCTTGATATATTAATCTCGGATAATGAAAAATACCAAATCCCCATTAGAATCATTCGCACATTGGTTTCAAGCTGCGATTCTTTCGGGGAAAGCTGTATACGCCGCTTTAAAAAAATCTTCCAAGAAAAATGCAGCCTTTAGTAGATGAAAACAAGCCGCCTTCCTGTTTTCAAAGAAAATTCTTCGGGAAAATCCTTCGATCAGGCACGTAGAAACAGTACTCAAAATATGCAAAATGGTTCGATGATGGCGCCGCATACTGTATTACAGAGCAGTACTGGTTATTCCGGAAATATCGACTGAGAGACCGGTAACGGTACTTCAATTAAATTATGCTGATCGTTTTCCTCCGTGTCGTTTAAATAAATAATTAAAAATGATTTTTAGTCCCATTCGATTATGGTTCATAACAGTCGTGATTATTGGCGCTTTACGTTTTCCATTTATTTTTGGTTCACAGTGCCGGGTTTTGTAGAAAATAGCTCGTTTTTGAAAATGCTGATGTCATAAACATTATGGATATTTTTGCCGTGTGAAGCGCCAGAATAATTTCTGAGTTCTTCTTGGTTTGATTATCGTTTGCAAAAATCGTTTCTTCCTTTGAAAATGTCTCCGATAAATCACGCGTATATTTTTATTTGGAATTTATCGCTGTGTAGCATTTATGCTCCGAATTTTCCCCACACAGAGTTCACAAAAAATTGGCGCACATTTCTCGAAACGTACTATTGGAATTGGCCCATTTTGAACGGCCACTACTCCTTTCTTTCATTCACTTGTTACTACGTATGCGTTCTTGTTCTAAATAAAGGGATCGTGCTTTAGAAAGGAGAACGGCGATTTCTGAAATTGTATCGAAAGATTTACCTCGTAAACAAGCAACAGGACTTTCTAGAATCTAGACGACGAGCTTGACTGGTCTGGCGAAACGACGGTTTTGATGATTCTAGAATAGCGGGGAGAACGGGTTGCTTGACTAGGCGCGCGAAAAGGAAGCATTCACGCGCTTGCGGCTGCAGGATTTTTGGCAGAGGCCTCATTTTTCCCCGTTCACCAACGTATATTTACCATCTGGGTGTAAAAGAAACCACAATTTCTTTGAATTTCCTTTCTTTCTGTAAGTACCCTGCAAAATTACTGTGGACATTAAAAAAAATTGATTATAATTAAAGCGACGAGGGAAATATAAAACTTTGAAAGATCTGAATAGTGCATGTCTTCTCTGATTCACTTTTAGTCAATTATTTAAAATAGTTCTCGTTTATAAATGGCCCGTATCCCCTCAGATATAAAACTGATCGATATTTTTTTCCGCCTGAGAAAATGCTTGCGAATGTGGTACACACATTGAGTACTTTGGATAAATTCGGAATGTATAAGAGAGTCCGTCGATCATACTCATATTTAAATTTGGGTACCTGTACTGTGAACGTTTCTTTGATTGAATACTGGACTTGCGTTTATTTACAAAAATTATGTTGTTCTGATTGTAATATCATGCATCAAACATAAGATGCCATTGGATACACGACATGAAAGAATATGAGACGCGCTCAGAGTTTTGTCGTTGAGTCGATTTTTGCCAAGTTCAAGATTCATAAATTGGAGGAAATGTAGTCATTTGATGTAGCTTCATTTTGGGAAGATATAGAGGTTTCGCTCTTGTGTTGAGTGGGGCTTTTTTTTAACTTCTTGGCATTATTTTTTTTTTGCCATGTATACTAAGCTCATGCTTACCGTATTTGAAAAATTGCGTTGTCCAGAATTATTACTCAATGCATCACACATAAGGCTCCCTTGGACACACCGCATGAACAAATGTGAGACGCGTCCAGAGTTTTCTGAATAAGTCGATATCGTGAAATATATGATTCATTAATTGGAGGATTTGTGATCAAGATTCTGATATTTGATATTGGGTCATTTTCGTGGAATTGAACTTTTTTTTCTTTCCTCGTGTGTTGGATGTGGATTTTTAATTTCATGCATGTCTTCTCTGATTCACTTTTAGTCAATTATTTAAAATAGTTCTCGTTTATAAATGGCCCGTATCCCCTCAGATATAAAACTGATCGATATTTTTTTCCGCCTGAGAAAATGCTTGCGAATGTAGTACACACATTAAGTACTTAGGATGAATTCGGAATGTATAAGAGAGTCCGTTGATCATACTCATATTTAAAACATTCAGTACATACATTTGGGCACTTGTACTGTAAACGTTTCTTTGATTGAATACTGGACTTGCGCTTATTTACAAAAATAACGTTGTTCTGATTGTAATACAGTATCATGCATCAAACATAAGATGCCATTGGATACACGACATGAAAGAATATGAGTCGCGCTCAGAGTTTTGTCGTTGAGTCGATTTTTGCCAAGTCCAAGTTGCATAAATTGGAGGAAATGTAGTCATTTGATGTAGCTTCATTTTGGGAAGATTTAGATGTTTCGCTCTTGTGTTGAGTGGGGCTTTTTTAACTTCTTGGCATTATTTTTTGCCAAGAATACTCAGCTCATGCTTGTATGAAAAATTGCGCTGTCCAGAATTATTGCACAATTCATTACACATAAGGCTTCCTTGGACACATATCATGAACAAATGTGAGACGCGTCCAGAATTTTCTGAATAAGTCGATTAGCACTTTATATACTAAGTAATTAACCTCCTAAACACTAGTTCTAAGACTATAAACTATAACCCAGTAAAAGCACCTTAACTTGAAAAAAAAGAAAGGAGCACACAACCTACACCTAAAAATTAAAGATGGCGTTCGTTTTTTTTTCTTTTGTTTGCTGCTGCAGGTTGCGAAGAAGGAACCACCAGCCCCGGTGCTCGAAGAATCTTCAGCAGAACCACGGTGCTTGAGCTCCAAGAATGACGCTCCCAGTTACTGGGACGCGGACGAAGAGGCGTCTTACGCGTCCGACCTCCGGTCCTCCTCCTACCTGGTGATCAACAACCGCCACGGGCGCCCTCCTGCACCACACCCGCCCGCCGACTCATACCCGGTGTCCTCTCAGTCATCTCACTACTGGCCTTCATCTACTCAAATGGACGACTTCGAGCCCTCCGACCCCGGGATGTCCATCGTCACTTCGGGGGTGTATTACCCGCCGCCGTCACCGCCACCAGCACCCGAACGAGACCCCGCGTGTCTCAAAGACATCAACTACGGACCTGGGCACGAAAAGTTCCCGTCGTGGCCGATGCCACCGGCCCCGGTCAACAAAAGCAGCAACCCCAACGGCAGCCAGCGCACAAAGTCCTGGACTGACCAGACCGAGTACCCGAAAGAAAAAGCCCGACCTTACTTGCGACCGTGGATGGTGAAGAAGCAGCCGGTTTGGGCGGAACCCGGTTTGCCTGATCCCGGGGATTTCCCAGCGCAAAAGCTGAGGCGTCCGAGGGCGCCGTTGCCGCCGTTGGACAAAGACGGGCGGCAGTACGGGGACGTGGATTACAACCTGCCGTCGCCGCCGGAGCGGGATTCTTCGCACAGGGAGAAATGGCGGGAGCCGGACTGACTCCTTTGAGAGCGCTTTAACCGCCTTTACCTCCTTCCACCTTGGGGCAAAAACCTGGTTGACGCGTTGCTGTCAGAGCGTTAGATGACCTGCCTAGCACCGATGTTTCTACTACGCATTCTACATACTGAGGGTTGTCTGGTTTCCGCCCGAAGTAAAAAAAGAAAAAAAATGCCCAACTAAATAGTTCATTTATCTTTTTCGTTCACGATATTTGGTTAATTTGTTTTTCATGTCTTGTACTTTACTCTTTTCGACATTGAGTATTTTCCGATCTGTGCAACTTTTTGCTTTTAACCTTAAACCTGAAAGTTGCCTTGAATATCCTTTCGCAGGAGAAGAAGGTGCAAGAGTCCAGGCAGTGAATGTAAATACTTGAAAAATGCTCTTCATTTTTCTGAGTCCAATTGATTTGACTTTGAAGCGTGCGTAGCCAAAGAATTATGTTGTACTTGAACAGTATTTTTCTGATGAACTTTCAAACCAACTCTCGGATTCTATCATTTTTAAACTTATCGATATGCTTAGCGAGAGTGCAGAACGCTTTTATCAATTTCCAGCTGAGTTTTAGAATTCACGTCGTAGCAGATACAAAAAAGTATTAAAACACATATTTTGGACGTCTCGGAGCACAACAACGAAATGAGCGGGTAAAAAGGCAGTTCCACGAGTGGCTAAATTTATTTCTTCTGGGAATTTGGTCACTGTTTTTGTAACATTGGGTGGAAAATGTTCGCATTTGCAAAAGAGGATCCAAAATAATTATCTACCTCGATCTGATCATCTGAATTTACTTGAGTATCATCGTCGTTTCATTGGATACTATACAGTACTTCTGGCGGAAACCGTGAAAGTTACCTGCATTTATATCCATTAAATTTTGTTGTTGATTTTCTCAATCTAATGTCATTTGCATTTTTCGTAGACATTCGGAGAAGACCTTCAACTCCAGAGACGGCCGAGAAAGTGTGGCGACAGTGGTGACAAACAGCAGCAGCAACTCCAGCAGTGACACCCTCAAGTGTCACGGGTCCCTCGGAGATTTGTCGAATTACGGACATCTGAACAACAATAATGGCGGCAATAATAATCAGCTAATTATGAATTCGCCTGGTTCCCCTACACATGTGAAATACGACGTTGCGCACAGCGCGAAGGTGCCGCCGGTGGAACGGCATAATTCGGAATGCG